GGTGGCACGTTGTCCTCCTGGACAATTACCATAGCTCCCTCCTTGTAACGTGCAGTATCTCCGAGATGCCATTTGTTTCTGGTGTGCAGTTGATGTAAATAATCACGATGCCACCTGGACCAGAAATGCTGTCTGACCTTCTCAATGTGTTGCCACAAAGAAAGGCGATTAGTAGCCACATCTCGAAAATCACCCTCTGACAGAGTCGACAGCGAGTCCCCAATAAGGAAATGGCTTGGAGTGAGGGCAATTAGGTCGTTTGGATCCGAGGAAAGTGGGATAAGAGGTCGAGAATTGAGAATCGCCTCAATTTGAATAATAAATGTATTGAATTGTTCATAGGTGAACAATCCGTTTCCAACAGTTCTATACAAATGCTTTTTAAACGATCGTACAGCGGCTTCCCATAGGCCTCCAAAATGCGGTGACCGTGGTGGAATGAAATGCCACTGTACGTTTTCCTTATTGCAAAAGTCTTGAACCCTAGTGCGATATTCATCAGAAGATAAAAATGCCTTTAATTTAACTATCTCATTTCTGGCTCCTACAAAATTAGTTGCATTGTCCGTGTATATATGACTGGCTATACCTCTTCTCGCGAAGAAACGCTTTAATGCTCCTAAGCACGCCTCGGTAGTTAAATCAGTTGTTAACTCCAAATGAACTGCCTTTGTCACAAAACAAACAAAGACTGCAACGTACGCCTTTACTGCTGTACGGTTCCGAACTTTCTTCTCTTTAATTGAAAACGGACCACAATAGTCTATACCGACATTCTCAAAAGGACGAGTTGGTGTGACCCTCGCAGCAGGTAGGTCGCCCATCATGTAAGACGCTACCTTGGGACATGCTCGGTAGCAACGAATACATCTATGAATAATACAACGTGTACTATTCTTACCGTCAATAGGCCAATATCGTTGCCGAACTGCGTGTAACGTAGCCTGAGTACCAGCGTGCCATTGACGCAAATGCTCCCCTTCTATTATTAAATCTGTCAAATGATGCTTCCTTGGTAACAAAATCGGATATTTTTGATCAAAACTAATCGGAGCATGCTTTAACCTGCCACCGACTCTAAGTATTTCCTCCTTGTCTAAAAACGGATGTAAATTAATCAATTTGCTAGCCTTGTTAACTGATTTACCAAGTTTTAAATTTTGCATATCTGACGTGAATGCCTCTTTTTGCACTAATCTAATAATGGAAAGGTGAGCCGCTTGAATTTCTTCAGGTGTGAGACTACCGTGCCTTTTCGCACCCCCAACCCTTGCGTTACACACGAAGCATCGCATGTACGCAATGGCTGTATTCAATTTGTGCAGTGTCGAAAATCGAGAAAGAATAGAAGTGCAACTATGAGTCACGTATAAAGCTACTATCACGCGGTTCTCAGGTACCTCGATAGGAATGATATTACTTTTTGGCCACTCGCTCTCATTAAATTTGAGTCAAGACGGACCATTCAACCACATATGGTTTGCAATGAATTGTGACGGCGTTTGACCTCGAGAAATAAAATCCGCCGGATTGTCCTCACTTGCTACGTGAGCCCAATCCTTTGGATCAGTTAATGACTGTAATTCGCTAACCCTATTGGCCACGAAAGTTTTTAACTGATGTGGAGGTGTCGCTATCCAATGTAATGTAATGGTGGAGTCAGACCAAAATTTGACACGATCAAAATGCAAGTGCGACATTGCATTAGTCACCTCACAATATAGGTTTGCCAACAATTTGGCCGCACACAGCTCCAGTCGAGGAAGCGAGAGGGTCTTAACTGGCGCTACCCGCGATTTGGCGCACAAAAGAGACGCCTGATGTTTGCTATTGTTGTTACTTGATCTAATATAGATACAAGCCCCGTAGGCCGTCTCGCTTGCATCGCAGAAGCCATGCAATTGCAATTGCGTCGCTTGCTTCATGATCACATGTCGCGGAGTGGTAAAGGAACTGAGCAGGTATAATTCATTCTTGAAGTGTGACCACGGTAAATATACCTGCTGCGGAACGGTTTCGTCCCACCCTACGTTTGACTTCCACAGTTGCTGCATTAAAATTTTCGCTTGTACAATTATGGGACCTAATAATCCTAGCGGATCGAATAATTGAGCAATCTGCGACAACATCAGTCGTTTTGTCATACGCGTACTGTCCGATGAAGATTTCACGGAATATAATAGGTAATCCTCAGCAGGATTCCATACTACTCCCAACGTTTTCTTCGAATCAGTTGCTTCTAAACACAGCAGTTTCTGCTGAGTGCCCGTATTTAATGTCTCAATAAGACCAATGTCGTTAGACATCCATTGACGCAGATGAAAACCGCCTAGCTGTGCGAGAGCTATTAGTTCATCTCGCAACTTTCGAGCGCTTTCAAAATCAGAGGCTCCCGTGAGCATATCATCAACATAAAAATCACGTTTGAAAATTTGTGATGCTAATGGAAACTTCCTCGATTCATCCTCCGCTATTTGTTTCAAGCACCGAACCGCCAAAAAGGGTGCAGAAGCTGTGCCGTACGTGACCGTATTTAATTCATAGGTCTTAATTGGCTGTTCTCGTGCTGCCCGCCACAGGATCTTTTGATACATTCTGTCTCGCGGGTCCACTTTAATTTGACGGAACATTTTTTCGATGTCTGCCGTTAGCACATACGTGTGAATTCTGAACGAACCGACAATCCGGCTCGAAGGACCAAATGTACCGTACGCGGCTGCTCAACTTATTTGCCGAACTCTTCCGCGTATCTCAAACGTCGGACTCTTCGCGGACGCGTCAAAGACCACCCGTGTCTTAGTAGTCGCGCTCGACTCTTTGATCACCGCGTGATGTGGAAGATAGAACCCTTCGGTAGGACGATCGTCACGCGTTTCGCTCATATGACCGAGATCTTCGTACTCTTTTAAAAAAACTGAATACTCTCGAAATAACTCCGGATTTTGCTGTAACTTCCGTTCTAATGAAAAGAACCGCTTTAACGCGGCATTTCGCGATTCGCCCAATAACCCTTTCTTTTCGTTGAACGGTAATCTTACAACGTATCTGCCATCGGAATCGCGAATCGTAGTGGCGGCAAAATTCATCTCGCATGCTGTTTCCTCAGCGGAAAGAAATTTTTTGTTGGGCAACTCTTCGATTTCCCAAAAACGCGTCAATTGCTTGTCTACATTTGTCGTGACATGACACGAACGAACGGACTGATTACGAGCGTTTTGAGTGACGTTGGTTTCTCCCGTCACTATCCACCCTAACTGTGTTTTCTGCAGTATAACCGAATCTTGACACAATTTTATTTGGCCAACGCTAAGTAACCGATAAAATAATGAAGTTCCGAGTAAAGCATCAACATCCGCGGGCTTATGGAACTCGGGATCTGCTAGCGATACGTTAGTCGGTATTGCCAGCTTTGACCGATCTACCTGACGAGAGGGCAATACACCGGTAATCGAAGGTAAAACTATAAATGTTACCTCAGATTTAAATACACCTGATCTTGACTTGATAATCGCTGATACAGAATATTCCGCGCGCGTATTTAATTGATTTAATCCCGCGAAAGTTAAATCTATTTTGCGTTTGGGCAATTGCAGTTTTTCCGCTAGACGATGCGTAATAAAATGGGTTTGCGAACCTCCATCCAACAGTACGCGACAAAGGTGTTCGTTATTATACCTATCCACAAACTTTACCTGCGCGGTGCCAAGTAAGACCTCCGAATCATACGCTACGGTCAAAGTGTTACGTACAGGCTCTGAAATCGGTTTATTATCCGAAGGGTTTGCCTGTGTGTTCGCAAAACTCTCCGGTTTTGAAGCAGCAAAATGAAGCATCGTGTGATGCTTACGACCGCACTTTCTGCAAGTTCTCGATCTACAGTTTTGTACATTATGCGACGGTTGAAGACAATTGAGACAAAGCTTCGCCTTTCTAGCCGCGTCCGATCGTTCACGGGGTGTCATTCTAATAAACACCGAACAAACTAAAATTTCATGTGTCTCGTTGCATAGGAAACACAAACTCATGTTGTTTCGAGATACATAACTTTGTCCCCGTTTCTGAGACTTCATATGGTTGAACGGTCTAGAATTATCCTGCTCATCCTCTACATCATCACCCCTCGCCTGCTTTAGAATGAAGTTAATTAAATCCTCAAATTTTGGTATTTCCTCATTTTCCAAAGTTCTATCCCAGGCCCTGCGCGTGTCTTTATCTAATTTCCTAGTTACGAGGAAAATTAAAAACGCGTCCCAATATTCCGTGGGCTGCTTTAAAACGCGTAACGCTTGTACGTTCATTTGCGCTTTCTCAGCTAACATGCGTAGATTAGCTGGAGTGTCTTTCTCGATTTTCGCGAGCTCTAATAGCGATTTTAAATAAGCTTGCACTAGTTGTCGCGGTTTATTGCATCGTTTTTGCAGCATGTCCCAAGATACCATATAATTCGTTTCCGATACTGTGACACTCTCCATGAATGTAGTCAATTCTCCGCGTAAAGAATTTCTTAACAAATGGAACTTTTGCGTCGCAGGTAATTCATCATTATCATGTACCAAACTTTTAAAAGTATCGTGAAAGCTCGGCCACTCAAGTGGATTACCGTCAAATGTACGGAGCTCCATTTTTGGTAACAACGATGTTTTTTGGCTCACCGTAACATTTGCCGGTGACTCTAACGCACGATTTCTTGATGAATTACCTGCAGGTTTAGCCAACTCTTCTAATCTATGTAACCGTGTATTAATAATATCCGAAATATCAAAATACTGCGACTCGAAAGATTCCCTAACTGCTTCATGGTCGGAAATTTCATCTTCTGATTCTATTGCATTCTGTATTTGATTGAAGGAATTGTACCACTCTTCTAATTTCTCTTTTCGTCCCTTTAATATCGGAATCTCTAACACCTGATTCTGATCCAAAGATGTTCGTAAACGCGTTAATTGGCTTTTAATAGTTGAGCGTTGTTTACGCAACGATTTTAAAGTGACAGACTCTTGACCTGTAGCCATCTTAGTAGCAATTGAGGCGATTAGGAAAGGCAAAATGTACAGATAGGAAAAGACACTCGCTGTACTCACTCGAGTGATGTCCTGTACGATGCGTGCGAGGTGGTTGTCTGTCCCCTGACTGGTCCAGTCCGTGTCTCTCCGATGACGTGATGATTCTTGTGAATAAGCCTCCTTCAGGGAACGATGCCACTTCCGTTGATGCCCAGGTCAAACGGCAGGT